TTGCAGCCCTTGACAACTCAACAAAACTGCTTACCCAGCCCTCCAGCCTAAATAAGTGCCTGTCCCTGCGTTACAGCATAATATACTGTGTCTGAGGCCAGCACACACCAATGGCAGCACAGGGCAGGCCTGCACTTCCCCAGTCCCGCTGGCACTCAGGCCAAGGAGCTTTACTGACAGCAGTCGGGGGGGAGGGACAGCCACAACTCACCTGGCACCAGGTCCTCCCATCTTGACATTTCCCCACAGTCCTCATCAGCACAGGTCCAAAGATCCACCCGTCCTTGCTGGATGCTGCAGATTAAGTCAGGTGTGGGACCTCGATAGCCTGTTCGGGCAGTGGTTAAAGAGCATTTGTGACTGGGTATGGGATGCAGAATCCAACCGGCATTCAGGAATGCATCCAGTGAACCCAAGATGTCTGCTAGGGGTTTGATGGACAAGGAAGGATGGGCATTTAAACTGACAGAGTCACCAGGGACAGGTGTAGAGATGCATTGACCCATGATGTACCAGGGAGGAAAAACAAAGCTTTAACTGTTTTCAAGGTACCGAGAGGAAGAGATATTGGACACACTTATGGATGCATAATATTTATCTTATCAGTGTAATTCCAGGAAAAGAAGTGAAAATGAATTTAGTGAGGGGACTCAGGGCAGTGAAAAGCACACATGACACATAGGCGACAATGACAATTTTTTTCTGGGAGAGAGAATAATTAATTCATCATCACCAGGGACAGAAATTAATAACTGTAGCTGCAAAATAGAAATCATCCTGTCCATTGGGAGGATCACCCCAGGAGGGGTGACGAGTGCACAGATTGGTAAGTACTGCGGGGTTGAACACCAAGTTCATGGGAGATGTGGATATGGACAAAAGAAGGTAGAAAGAGATACGTGAAAAGCACAATGATGGGCATCCGATCAGCAGAGGGATTTTAGGGAGAGCACAAGAAAACTTCTGAGAGGGGCAGAGGGAGCTTGAGAATTTCTGACCTACGGAGATGAAGATGTTAGGAAGGGATGTGGACGAGAGCTTCCAGCGACCCCTTGGCAGACAAACCTGGCTTACATCCGTGTACACATGTCGCTAGATAAGCAGTTGAGCAAATGCCTCTTCCCATTGAGAGGCTGATAAAGCTTTCTATGAACTTCTGCCAGGTCATAATTACAGGAGAAAGGGGACCTAGATAGCACAGAATGCAAGGATCGTTAAATGTGTCTGGAGAGGACTCGCTAGGCCAGACAGGGAGGAAATCAGAATCCTCCCCCCAGGAACAGCTCTTAGTGCATTCGTGTACAATGGCCTGGGGATGATGTGAATGTGCTGAGAAGGTAAAGGGAGATCATGTTGCGAAGAAACTGCTGCATGTGGAAGAACCAGGAGTCACAAGAATGGGGAAGGCACAAGTGAAGGTGGCTGGAGCAAATGAAGGAGGAGATCTCAGTCTGAAATGTGAGGGAGGCCTGATCACTGGCAGGGCAGTGGGGAGGAAGGGGATTTAAACCTCCAGCCAAAAGATCATGAGGATGAGACTGCTGAAACACGGGAGTGACTACAAAACTGCAGAGTTCACATATCTCCGGGGGAAGCAAGACCCAGAGCTTTACCCAGGGAAACGAGGGCTTGGTAATTCTTCACCATCTGCTCCTGGTAAAGCACCTTGTCGTCATCGTCCAGCAGCTCCCACTCCTCCCGTGTGAAATACACCGCCACGTCCTCAAACACCTCCCGGAGCTGCAGGCACAAGCGTTGCACCATCAGTGCCTCCTGCGCCAGCTGCTCCCAGCCCCACAGCCCTGGCAATCACTGGTACTACCACAAATTGCAATCTTAGCCACAGATTTATCGATTGTAGAGTCGGAAGGGACCACAATGGATCGTTGTGTCCGACCCCCTGCCCCTGGCAGGAAAGAGGACCGAGGTCAGATGACCCCAGCCAGGTGACTATCTAGCCTCCTCTTGAAGACCTCCAAGCTAGATGATAGCACCACCTCTCTTGGTAGTCCATTCCAGATCCTGGCCACCCTTACTATGACAAATTTCTTCCTAATATCTAACCTAAATCCACCCTCAACTAGTTTACACTCGTTATTCCTAGTCACTCCCTGGAGCGCCTTAGTAAACAGCATTTCCCCTATTCCCCATTGACCTCCCCTAATACATTTATAGGCGGGCACAAGATCTCCTCTCAGCTGTCTCTTGTGAAGGCTGAAGAGATTCAGCTCTCTCAACCTCCCACCGTAGGGTCTATCACAAATGCCACTAAACATGTGAGCGGCCTCCTCTGGACCCTCTCGAGATTCCCCGTGTCCCTCTTAAAGTGCGGTACCCAAAACTGGACACAGTACTCCAACTGCGGCCTGACCAGAGCCACATAGAGGGGGAGCATCACCTCCCTTGATCTATTACTCGTGCACCTGCTAATGCACGACAAGGTGCGATTGGCCTTGTTGATGGCCTCGTTACACTGCCGGCTCATGTTCCTCTTGGAGTCAGTTACGACTTCAAGATCCCTCTCTGCCTCTGAGCTGCTGAGAAGGACACTCCCCAATCTGTAGGTGTGCTGGGGGTTCCT